GTGAGTGTGCGCGGGCCGTGCGCGCGCCCGTGCGCCCGAGCTCCGGGGTTAGGGCCACGGGGCCTGCGTGCGCGTCCCGCCCCTAAGGCTCGGGTGACCTCTTCCCGCCCCCCGCGTCAGGCGTGGGAGCTGCGGGGTAGGGCGGGTGATTTCTGGGGTGAGGGAGCCCCAAGGCCAGAGGGCAGAGACCGGGGAGCCAGCTACCCAAGGCCAAGGCCAGGTACGATGGGAGACGCCTGGCCGCGCTAAGCCAGCTTTCTGTTCTGGCTCCCTCTGAGCTTTGCTCCCTGACCTTGGATAGTCAGCTTTCTCTTCCGGGGCTTACTGTCCACATCATTGAAATGGGGCGTTTGGACTCCTTGTCTAGCCAGGCTTTTCTGCCCTAAACTTTTGGGACTGTCGCCCCTGTGATCTGTTGGACTTGCAGTGTAATGACGCTGAGTTTGAAGAAGGAAAGCCGCTTGCTTTCTTTTCAAAGCAGCCTGAGCAGGCGCTTGGTGGTCGGTGAGGCTGGCAAGCTCTGTGCATAGAGGGGACCTCTGGGGGCTTGAGTCTGCACAGCCTGCGACTGGAAAATCTGGTTCAAATGTGGGCTCCCTAAGGGACTGTCAGAAGTCTCGGTGCTTGCTCCCTCTGTGCTCTGCTTACCTTTGCGTTGGGCTCCCTGACTTGTGTGCTGAAGGCGAGCAGGGCTGAGGGGGGTGGTAAATGGTCAACCTCTGCCTTTGGGGTTCTGCCTTCATCCTCGTGGCTCTGTAGCCTCTGGACTGGATGAGGATCTACAGAGGGAGTCCTGAACCCATCCCGACCACTGGTCTGAACCCATTCAAATGTGATATGGCTCCTTTCAGTCTCCACTTTGGTGAAGCCTAGGAACGTCTAGGCATCCCTCCATCTCCCAAGTTGCTCCCCTTTGCTGCCTGATTTCCCCATCATCTCTGACAGTTCTCTCTGAGTGCCTTTCCCAGTGGATGGTGATCCCTGCAGGGAGAGCTGAGCAGAGACTTCATGTTGCATTCTTGGTTTCACAGTCAGGGGCTGGCCCTAGAAGGTTCTCAAGGAATGTTTGTGGAGTAGGTTGATAACAGCTACCTTCTCTCAGTAACCACCCTTTTCCAGATCTTGTGAATATGGAACCGCAGGGTAATCCTAAATTACTCTCCTTGTCCCGGCCCCAGGAAATGGAGGCAGAGAGAAGTCCTGTATGTTGCTCAAGGTGGAACGTGGTTGGGCTGGGCAGGTTACTTTTAGCCAGCCCACACAGCCTTGGGTGGATGACTGGAGTCTGCTGATTGGGTCTCTGTGGGCAGCTGAGGGGGCTGATGTGGCTGCTGTGATTTCTGCCCACAACACAATGCTTCATTGTGGGATTTTGCAACCAGTGGATCCTTGTGTGCCGTCCCAGGCTTCAGCAACTCCAGCCTGTGTCAGCTCTTCCCGGCCTTTTCAACGCTCCAGTGTCGGGAGGCTTACGTGTGGCCCCGAGTCCTCTGCTTGGAGTACAGCTATCAAGGTTGGGTCAGAGGAAGCAGAGGTGTGTCAGCTCTGGGCATAACCTTGTGGCTGTTTTTGTGTCTTTTGTACCTCTTGGGGGTATAGGAAGGAAAGCAGGTATGGTGAGGTTGGCTGGTAAGTATCCAGGGTGTTTGAGACCACTGCTGTGGGCTGGGTCGAGCCTGAACAAAGAGGAGACTGTCTTCCTGTGAGGACTATTGCAGGGTGACTGGAATTTATTTCTATATCATGCCTGGGAAACATGGTTTCTTCTGATCTACTCAAAGGTGGCTCCATGAATAAGCTGAAAGGAAGCCAGACCAGGCAGGCCCAGAGGTATGAGGGCATGGTACTGTGGCCTGAGGCTCTGGAGCCACATGCCGGAATCCTTCTCTGGCCCTTCAGCTGATAGCCACCCAGCTTTGGAAAGGGCATGTCTTGACTGTGAAACAGGAAAACCATGTTGAGGAAAGGAAGGAACCTGGGCTCTGGGCAGAGTACTGAATACCATGCTTATACCTGCTGGTGTGTGCCTAAAGCAGCTAGCGGAATGAGGCCTCCATGCCCCCACTGTACAGATGCTCACAGTAGAGTTCAGGCACAGGGGTTGGGTGGCGTAGGGTGCTGCAGGTGAATGTCACAAAGCACATGAATGGCTGTGCACTGATTCCCGCTCAGGCTTTCTGGCTCCAAAGCTTTCATATTTTCCTAACATTTTGTTGCTTTTCGGCCTTGGGCTCTCATGTAGGACAGGGGTGGAAATTGTTAACATCCATCTTTTATCTGCTCTTTGTTGGGAGAAGAGGCTCCCAAGGTACCTTCTAGACTCACCCTTCCTAACACTGCGACCCTTTAATAAAGCTCCTCAATTTTGGTGACCCCAACCATAAAACTATCTTTGTTGCTACTTCATAACTGTAGTTTTGCTACTGTTAGGAATTGTATTGTAAATATCTGTGTTTTCCAATGGTCTTTGGGAGGTCACAGGTTGAGAACTACTGTTCTAGAGCCTAAAGTTGGGCTGGCTTCAGGTACATAGACCTGCATGGTTGCTCAGGGCTTCCTCGTCCAGAGTCATTTTTTTTCTTACAATTTGGCTTTGTTATGCTGCCACAGTCTTAATTTCTTCAGTTTTTGTGTGAGTGTGGGTACGCACATGCCACAACATGAACGTAGAGGTCAGGGTACAACTTTTGAGAGTAGGTTCTTACCTTTTACCTTGTTGAGGCATGGTCTGTCTGTCTGTATTTCTTTTTTTAGATTTATTGATTATTATTATAGATTTATTTATAACATTTTAAATGATTAAAATATATTTATTTATTATTTATAATAAACTATAGGTTTATTCATTATTTTATGTGTTTTGCCTGCATGTATGTCTGTACTATGTGTGTGTCTCTGGTACCCTTAGAGGTCAGAAGAGGGGTCAGATCCCCTGGAACTGGAGTTATGGATGGTTGGGAGCCACCATGTGGGTTCTGGTCTTCTGTAAGAACAACAAGCGCTCTCAACTCTGGACCATTTGTCCAGCCCCTGGCTCTCTCTTCTTGTTGCCTGGTCCATGAGCCTCTGACCTTCGTGTACGTCCCCCCCCATCTCAGCGTAGGAACAGTGCAATCGTAGACATGCCTGCCACATCATCTTTTATGTGAGCATCTGGGGTAGAACTCAGGTCGTCAGGCGTGTGAGGCAAGTGCTTCCCCTGCTGAATCATCTCCATGACCCGAGATCCTTACGTTCTGAACAGGAGTCCCCACATTTTCGTTTTGCAGGTCTTCCCACACCCTCTGCAGCCGCTCCTGCTGAAGCGTTGGGGTCAACAGTGAAGACGACATAAGGATCACTTTCTCCCTGTGGAGGTCAGTGCCAGTGGCCTTGGGGCCAGTTTGTGTCGTCTGGACGCTTCATACTTCCCATTGTTGCCTTCCATTGTCGCCTTCCTTGGTAGCAAATGGTTGTTCCAAAGAACTGTCCACCAGACATTCCCAGGGTTGATGTGCCACTCTTGGGTATTTGAGTGGAACTTGATTTTCCTGGGGGACACATGGCACAGGTTGCAGTAGATTGGTGACCCAGGAAGTCACCAAGGGAGCCTCACAAGGAGCATCCCTGCTTTGGCTGATGAAAGTGGCTAAATGTGATGCTTGCTGTGGCTCTGGGCCTCCTGATGCTGGAGTCATTGGTCATGTCTCCATGAGCTTTTGGAGCTAACCGCAAAGCCAGACCTGACTCTCCTGATAGTCTTGTCTCAGATAAGAGTTTAGCTGACAATGTTTTTGTGTTGGCTTTGGCCACCTGGAAGCCCTAAAGACCAAACCCTTGCCTCAGTCACAGCAACTGTTTGTAAACAGTTACACTAGGAGCAACTGTCTTTCTTTTTTTATGAGGCAGGGTTTTCCTGGTAGCCTACACCTGTCTGGAACTCAGTGTGTAGCCCAGGCTTGCATTGAACTTTTGGATCCTATTGCCTCTCTCCCCTGTACCCCTCTGTGCTGGGGTTATCAGCCTGTGTCATGAGGCTGGACTGGGTTGTTGTTATTGTTGTTGTTTTGAGATAGGGTCTCACTATGTAGATCAGGCTGGTGAACTCACATAGATCTGTCTGCCTCTGCCTCTAGAGTGCTGGCACTGAAGGGTTAAAGGAGTTAATATTCATGGGGTATATCTCTGTCCCCCATGGCCTTCCTGTGTGCTGTTCATTGATTCCCTGTAGTGGGCCTGTCGGGGGAGGTCTGCTAGATTTGAAGGAGCCTATTGGAAGCTCTGAGGTTAAGCCACATATCCAAGTTTACACAAATAGGAATAGGAGGTGGTGGGGCCACAGTGTTGAAGCCTGAACATGGACCTTGCCTCTTTAAGGAACTGGAATGTAGCCCAGCTGTCTGGCTAGTTCTCTTCATGATTGTCAGGACTCTGCCTGTAATCTGTGTTTCCTGTTCGCTGCTTTCGTTTTGTGCATCTTGCAGTGCCTTGGAGGAAGCTGTATGTAAACAGGCCTCCCCATAATGAACGTAATACCTGTCTCAGGCTTGCTTACCTGGGCATCTCAGGAAGACATGAGTGGGGCCTGGTGTGGCTGAGCTGGAGAAGACCCACCGCCAGAAGGGGAATTCTCAGCTGAGGTCTGGGGAAGGTTTTGGTTCCTTCTTCTCCGAGAAAGAGATTTCTGTTCCGAGAAAGAATTTCCTCAGCATGACCAGGAAGTCAGCATTTAGACTCCTGATGGCCCTGCCTGGCCTTTAGCAACTCTGGTCCCAGGGAAGGCCAGGGAGCCCAGCTTACCTTCTTTCCTGTGCTGTTTTTCATAGGCAAGTGGAGGGGAGACGTTGCCCCAGCATGAACTGCACCCCCAGAAACAGGAAGTAGAAACTAAAGCAGCTGTCTGTCTGTCTGCCATGGCCTGTGAGCCTCCTACAGACCCTGGTGTCGCAGCTGGTCCCCTGCCCACCTCTATCCTCGGCTGCAGCACCTTGCCTCAGAGGAGCCCTCCTGGATGGGGTCAAGGTAAGGCCATGACCCCCCCCCCCCCATATACTCCCCTTCTCCCTGTGTCCCATTCTGTGCTGACCTCACACCTTATAACTGGGGTCTCTGGATAACTGGGTGACTTTGGGATTCAGCTCCAGGCCACTTTCTATCATTTCTACCCTGTTCTAACGGTCACTGCTTCCTATCATCACCTTGAGCTTGAGCATCACTTTCGAGCTTGTTTTCTCTCCTTCCCACCAGAGAACCTTTTTCAGATGTGTAGTCTTGCTGGCAGTCAGGCCTCACATTGGACATGTGAAGATTCGTCATTTACCAGGCCAGCCTTAGCACCTTCCATTGCCCTGTTCTCTGTTCTTTGCCAGGGCATTCTGTCTCAGGACCTTTATACATGATGTTCTTTCTGCCGGTGTTTTTTTGGTGCTTGATTTCCATTCATTCTTCAGGCCTTCTTTCATCCCTCCTTCCCATGGCAAATTATTTGATGGCTTAGCCTTAGTTGGGATTTTCTGATGTATTCTCCCAGCCTCCCTATCAGAATGGAAGTTCAGGGAGGGTAGGGCTCTGTACTGTTTCACCCTTCCCATGTCTGCAGAGTCCGCAGGAGGCCTGCTCCACAGGAGAAATGGAGTTAGGATTGTGCTGAATGAAGGGATGAATGGTAGCTGGGAATAGCAAGGAGAAACAGTACTGTAAACTGTGGGTGATCTATAGGAATGTGGGGCTTACGTAAAGGGCCTGAAACTCAGTGCTTACAAAAAGGTGTATGCCTGTGTTATTAAGAAAGCAATTTAAGCCGGGCAGTGGTGGCGCACGCCTTTAATTCCAGCACTTGGGAGGCAGAGCCAAGCGGATCTTGGTGAGTTCGAGGCCAGCCTGGTCTACAGAGCGAGATCCAGGAAAGGCACAAAGCTACTCAGAGAAACCCTGTCTTGAAAAACAAAACAAAACAAAACAAAACAAAACAAAAAAAAGAAAGCAATTTAAATACCTATACATGCTTCAGTAGAAAGGGACAGGATGAAGCATTTTTCCTTTGAGACTTGAAAGGTGTCACTCTGCTGAATTTTAGCAAACCTCCTCTTGCTTCTTTGTGCATTCTCTCTCTCTCTCTCTCTCTCTCTCTCTCTCTCAGCTTTACTTAGCTTCAGTCTAGAAGCAAGTATTTCCAAGTGCAGGACTTGCTGTTCTCATTTTAAGCAACAGATGAGCGATTATGTTGCCAAGAATCCAGGAACTCCTAGTAGAAATGCAAACAAGAGACTCGGTAAAAGGTCTTTGTAATGTTTGGGCAAATGCCTGTGGAGCCAGGGTGTAGCTGTCTGAAGGTTCCAGACTCTCTTGGGGGAGCTTCAGCCTGTGTGGCAAGGAGGGCCCCAGTGGGAGAGCCCACTGAAGGCTGCCTGTGTTTTGGGCACCACGTCTTCCTCTTGTTTGTTCCACCCCCTACCCTCAAGACAACTGGGTAAACCCTCTGCTTTCCGGAGGCTTGGCTTCTGTTTCCATGTGAACAGCATCCACCTCGTAGGACTCTTGGAGCAAGTGCATAGTGAGGGCTTCAGTTCTCTCTCCACCAGGGGGCTTATTAGCTACTCTCGTTCTTTCCTGCCTACCCCTTTCAAACATTTCAGAAGTCTTCAGTTTAATCTTACACTTTTATCAAAGTATGGCGGAGCCTAACAGACATAGTAGTGCTGTCTTATCAGGACTTTTGAGTTCTGGACAGCTTACTTCCAAACTATGACCTCACTGGGGCTAGTAATTCACCCACTTGAGGTGACATCCAGGCCATCGTCCGAATGGTTCACAGTCTCCTGTGGTGGCTGTGACCGTCTGTAGGTAAGGAAACAGTTTCTCCTGCACATTTACCTTGTTAGTAATAGGCTGAGTCGCAGTTTGACCCCTCAAGATCTGACCTGTATTTTGTCTGTGTACCACAGACAAACTTGGAGCAGAGGGCAAACTTGAAAGTTCTTTTGGACAGCACCTGGAGTTTA